TACCTGCATTAAGCACTTGTGTTAAAATGTTGAAGGAAGGCGATGAGCGAACGAAAGCCATGTTCTTACTAGCAATGCTGGATATGCAGCAAAGTAAACCGATGAGGGTGAACATGAAAGAACCTGAAGAATTGGAACCCATGAAAAAGATAGACGAGATCAGGAGATTCTCAAACAAGGAGTTGAGGCTCACTAAAGAATCTATGGGAGCATTGCCGAAATCCAGTGAATACTGTGGACCGATCAAGAAGAAGTCATATCGCTATGTATCCGGGATCATAGGGATAGCGTACAATCCTTTCCTGAGTGAAGACATACGTGATTGCTTCTTTGATTATGAGCAGGCGGTGTTACTAAGATTCTGGACGTCCAGAATTGTGACGACTAAGAGCGTTAACAATCCACAGGCCAAATTGGGATTGGTCTTGGAAGAAGAGGTGACTGCACCTTCAGTACCAAAATCCGACAAGAGAGTGGAATTTGGGTTGGGATTCTCAGATGAATTACTGAGAACGAGCTTGATGGCAGTGTGGGAATTGATGAAGCCATCGTGGTGTCCTAGTCCCAACGCTGACTCAATATTACGGGCGACACAGGACATACAGAGGGAACTGAATGTGGACTGTAACCTGCGTGACCTCAACATCATATATAATGTGATGACAACAGCCTCTAAGAGCAACGGAGAAGATGGAGTGGAGTTGCCTGGCTGGGGACCAGAAGACTGGGTCAAACCTGGTAGCTGTCTGGCGGAAGTCTGTGGACTAGAGGGTCACGTTTGTGGAAGTCTAGACTGTGTGAAAACCCTGGAGAAACAACACAAGCAGTTGACGGTATTGTTTGGAAATGTAGTGATGAAAGCAAGAACGGAAACGGAACTGATAGCAGATTGCCATGGAGGAACCGGTGTGAATCTAGTGACAGCACTAGGATTCTACAGCATGTTTGGTTCTCTAGAGTCACTATTGAATCTAGAACAGAAACATGAGATGGTCACAGCCATCAGCGTAGAGGTATTCCCAGGAGTTCTGCAGACTGAGCAGAAGTATATAGGAAAATGGAGGGAAGCAATCGAAACGGAGATGAACATCAGACACAGCGAAACTTATTGTAGACCATCAGGAGCACGATATTTGGTGGGTTCAACGTTGGCTCCAATGTGCAAGAGCAGATACCCTGTACATTTCGTGGCTGTGGACGTGAAGAGTACAAGAACGATCGTGGATCAAGCTTTCTCAGTGCCAAAGTGCGTGAGATTGGCGAGAATGTCTGAAAAGTCTTACGAGTTACTATGTAAGATGTTCTCAGCAGTTCCAGAGAGAACCAAAGAGGAGTTGGAGTCAATACTAGGAAAGAAGTTCATGGGATATGTGAGCGGGAACTTCAGTGACTTTGAAAAACAGAAACAGAGAGGATCAACTGTCACAGATTACAATGCAGTAGATGAGAATGATGAAATCCACCGAGTGATGATGGAAGTGGAACCATTGCTGGAAGCTTCAGGAAAACGCAATTGGAGGAGCGTCATGTTGACACATGACGAGTTTCCTTGCCACTGCTTGCTGCAGACCTGGTGGTATCCCAAGCGTAGTAATTTGGTGTTGATATGGGACTCTGGAGAGCTGCTCTCCATGGGTTTACCAGATTCATCACAGCCCATAACAATAGTGATAGTGGGAGTTATGATGGCGATACGATGGCTGGAAGCTCATTTGAGAGAAAATAATAGACAGGAGGCACCGACGAGAGAACAATTGCAGAAATTAGATTGTCTAAAAGATTTAGATCTTTTTGAGACAATGTGCAAAGTTCTAAACATTCCGATGGAAGTGAAGAAGATATGGGCAAGAAAACGATTGATGCCATGGTTCAGAGCTAACATGACTGCATGGTTGTACGAGTATGCGAAAAAGCATATGTCGAAACATGGCAGAGTGTACAGTGAATATCAGCTGGACATTGGGGCAGGAGCTTTCAAGCGAGCTTTCGTGACCCATCGGAATGCAGTGACCACCGCTGTGAAAAGAATTTCCAGGACGAGCGAGCGTAGTGGAAATGAGAAGGCAGAGATGCTGAAAGAAGATTTGGAGAGAAACGTGACGTTGTGTCTCCACAACAGCTTCTGTAGAAACAGAGAATCAAACGTGGATCCCCTACCTTGCTGTAAACAGAGGGTGGAAGAGCAGAAGTGTTGGAGGACGGCTTCCAACAGCGTCAGGATAGTCAATGACGTGCTACAAGACACGGAAACCGAGAGTGCGGAGTCAGTGTCACAGGAGGAGGAAATGGAGCATTGACGAATGGTCGAGAAAACAAGAGGCAGCAAGAAAGAAAATTAGAAGAATTTAGAAGTTTTAGAACTTCTAAACGACGAAAAAAGAAGAGAACAAAGGGATGATGAAGAAAAGTTAAAACTCAGAATTGTTTTATGTGTGTGAAAAACTCAAGTGAGAAACCAAGCAACCAAGTTGTAATTGAAAACTGAAACATTTAAGTTGAGTTTGGAAATTGTTGCATTTATAAATTTGCATTTTGGTTTTAGTTGAAGTGGCTTTAGAGACACTCACTTATTATTTATTTAGAAAGGCTTGAGGGAAGAGTATATTTAAATATTCCAGCCTGCATGATTGTTTTTAATCACTTAGGAAGACTGATAACTTTGTGGTGACATGAAAAACTTGAGTAACTTCTTGCGGAGGGAGGTTGTTGCATTGTTCTTTCTAACCACAAAGTTTCTTAGTTTTAATACTCAGGACAATAGACAAGCAAGATTTCCGAAGGGAAGGAGCATAGTAGGATAATTTTAGCTTGTTGGTTGGCAGGACTGTCCTGCAAGCCAACACCTTTTAAATCTAGGAGAAAAAGTTTCAATCGGGATATTGACACTGGAAGTCAGAAAATATGTTTTATCTTAAGTCATATCCTCAATGTGCAGATTAATGAAAGAATTTGAAGGCTATAGTGATGTAGTATGATGCCATTTATATTCTGCAGTGAGTCGATGTGACGTAGGTAAAAGTAATTTCGTGCATTTTGTAAATTCTGTTCGATGACACTGTAACCGTTTAGAACATTGCGCGATTCAATGAGGACATTGACCGGACTGTCCGGGGAGTATGTGACATTCGACCAGAATGGCCAAAATGCAGTCTCTGCAGAATTCGGTATTTTAGCAGCAAGCCTTCCGAATTGGCGATTTAGAACGGATAAGGACGTTATTTGAACGATTGGCCAAACGGTGAAGGCTAGAAGATTCTGGAATTCTAATTTTTAAAAATTCGAATTATGACGTCATATTTCTGAGAAACGTCAGAGACGGCCATTTTAGCTAAAATAGCAAAAAGAAACAGAACAACTTTTATCTGCGATTACGAACAGTACGAAATCGAGACTAAAAAACAACAACGAACTACCGAACAGCAGAGGACGTTCCGAGTTGCAACTATTGTGCTGTTACAATAGTTGCAAGGCCGTTGCGAGCAACGGTGAAGGGTAAAACCCAGCCTTCCGAGTTATTGTGAACTGGATATTAAGAAGCTTGATTCACCGGATTCAAGAATCCGGAAGGGTCTCGGGACGTGGACTTTTATGAACTTATATTGAATTTTAGCATCCGTCATGTCCTGACTTGAATTTAATTAAGATCTTAATTCGTTTTGACAAGAATGAGGAGCTAGAAGTAGGGGGGGAAGGGTTGATCCATCTTCGATGGAGATGATGATTTTTATCTACTGAACAAAAACAATAGTAATATAATAAGTAGTAGCCCTGTTTTTAGGAGTGACCTCGTGGTCTGGGGATACAGAGACCCAGCCATGAGCTCACTAATTTTGCATGTAATTCAGTTAATTTGAGCGTTCTGGTCGAAGCCGGAGAACAGTAACGTTTTTGTCAGCCTGATGTAAGAAAGACCACCGAAAAGTACTGGCTTGGTAGAGACGGTGAAAAACATGCAAAGCTCTGTTTAGACGCTAGCCAGTCGTCTTAAGACTTAGTTTTGTTATCCGTCGATATGTATCTTCCGGGCGAATGTTACAAGGACTGTTATATCTATAGGATCTGATGCTTATGTATGACACTTCAATTTGCGCGAAATTGCAAAAAAGACCAGTTCAATTTTCTGTTCAATTTCAGATGATCGGGACGGCAAGTTTATTAGTGCGGGTTTCACATGAAAATCTTCTTTATAGTAAATCATTTTTAATCTTTTTATCCTATTTATGTTTTTTCTATAAAAAAACTTTCAAAGATTTTATAATAAATTTCAAACAGCCAGCTGCTGGGCAATATTCAGTTCCTATTTATATACAGATATACAGTCCTATTTAAAAAAACTACAAACAAAAAATGTTCAAATTATTAAGGTCTTCAAATTAGTGTAATTTTTTTAGTGCGTGGTATGGTGAGAAAACTATACACACGCGTAAAAAAATTCTTAAATTGACAAAAGTTGTCCTCAAAGGAAAAATAACAAAGAAAAACAATTTAAAAAATGTATTTTTTTTTTGCAGAATCTTTTAAATTTTTTTGTAAGCATTTTTGTAAGGCAAGTGCCAAATAACTTTCAAAGATGTTTTTATTGAAAAAAAACAGGTTTTTTTAGCCTAAATGATTAATTTAGCAAGTTATCGTCACTTTATTTGTTCGCTTTATTCGGTCGAAATAAAACAAAACCAGTTTTTCTCACCATTTTTTAGGTTCGTTCAAGTCACGACTGAAAAGGTTTTTTTTCTGTTATATCAGTTAACCTGGCCCGATAATTACTTGTGGTACCTGATTTTGCGTAGAAAACAAAAATAAAAACGAAAAAGGAAAAGAAAAAAACTAAAACACATGAATACAAATTTCCTCCGCATTTTCAATAGTCGGAACAACAACTAGCTTCTAGTATTTATAATGACGCCCGCAAAAAAACTAAAACCCACACAATACAAATTTTTAATGACGCCCGCGAAGCTCAAAAAAAGTAAATATAATTATCAAAGTGAATGAGTACTAACTTGTTCGACTACATTGAGGTCGTTGAGTTGGTAGAGGTCAAACTCGCAGCTGACCATCAGTTTCCTCTCACTTGAGGTCACTGGGCGGAGACTGCGACTGCTGTTACGTAATATTTCCCGCACCAGTCCCTTCCCCACGTCCTGCTCCACCTCGTCCCAGTGGGGGTGGCTGCAACGAAGAAAATTTTCAAAATTGCAGATTGCAGCAAAATTAGAAGTCTCAATACAAAGCTCTAGCGCTAATTTACTGCTTTCATTATTAGGGGAGGCAATTCTTAACTAGGTACCAAAGGGAGGGCAATTGTTAAGTAAATCCAATCACTCACTCAGTTTGTTATAAGTTATGATTATTATTCAAATTATGCAAAAATATTACATCCGCGCCCTGTAACTAACAAATAAAACTATCATCTATTGAAATTTAAAATAATTCGTGGTACTGCCTTAAATTAACAGCGTTCAACTGTTTTTTCTTCAAATTATCAATATAGTTTTTTTATTTTTATGAGCAGAGAAAACTGATTTATGTGAAGCTTCGAGGAATGAAAAAAAAAAGGCAAATGAAAAATGAAAAAAAAAAAACTAAAATCAACTATACAAAAAACGAATGGAACACAGGGGAACATTAAAGAAAGGGGGCAAAAGAGGGTTGGCACGGACGCTCTACGTTACCTTACCACTAAAATGGGTCTCCCCTTGGGAACTTTTATCAGATTACTCGATCAGCCGTTAAATTTTTTTAGGGCGCCAAAACTTTTCTTAAGGCGCCAAATTTTTATAACACAGCACAGAATTTATGAACCTTGATACGCTAGTTTATACGTTGATGAATAAAACCTCCTAGTCTTCTAATATTTGTTCACTGATTCCCATTCATTGATCATTTAGACCGAATGATGGAAGACAAGTTTCAGCCAATCAAAATTGAGTAATCAAAAATGTCAAAGAAATGATGAAAATTTTTAATTAACCAAAGAAACCCAAGGGGGGAAAATTTTCAACCAATCAAAATTCCTAAGCGTTCCTATTGGCTAAATGCTTTTCTCACAAAATCGAATTCAAAATTATCAGAAAATAATGATCTAATAACTATAATAGATGCAGATGTAATAGGTGCAGATCTAATAAATTTGTTTTTCGTAAATCGGTTTTCTTAAAATATTAAATTTGTTCCAATCCGCCTTCGATCCGGTATTGATTTCATTCATCTGCTTATTATCTAATCTGGCAATATTAACACTAAGGGCCCTGGATTTATTTGCTTACTTTAAGATTTTCGCAATTTCCGTGAGTTTTTTGAATACTCAATTGTGATTGGCTGAAAATAAGCCAAAATAAATTTCAGGCATTCGGCCCCTCCAGCATGAGGGACGCAACCAACCCAGGCTAACAAAACAAGAATGCTCGTATATCAGTGCAAAGCCCTAAAACTTGAATGTTCCGAAAGTCCCTTAATTCATATCGAATAGTTTTTGGGAAACGAAAATATTGAAAACCTATAAATTTTGGACAAAATCAAAGTGTGAAATTTTGAGTTGTACAAAACTAATTCGAACGATTAACTAGCCTCCGTATAATTTGGAACGATTTTATTGTGCGGGATAAATCGCCAAGCATAAATAATTCACGTTACTCACTCAGCAGTATGGATAAACTCTTCAAAGTGCGCATATTTTAGTTCAGAAAATGGCCAATTTGGCAATTTTAAAACCCCCAGAACTTTACAAAACATAATTGGAGGTAAAATATTTTTTAAAAATTGAAATCATAAAGTCGATATCTTCAATGGGTTATAAAAAGTTTTTGTTGATAGCTATTATTTCGATCGGCGAAAGTTGACTGAATAAAAAAAACACCGAGCATAAATATTCCGTTTTCTTCGAAAGTCGGAACAATGACATTGATTGATTGTAAAAAGAAGCCGAAAAAAAATCTATTATTGTTAGAACTAAGACGCATTGAAAAAAAGTTTTTTATTCTTAAAAATTACCGATTTTTTGAAACAGAAAAACAATTTTGCCTGGTATCTGCACAAATTGTACAACAAAATTAGTTGTACTGCTAAATTTCCTTTTCTGCTAATTTCGAATTCAATTTGGTAAAAAAAACAATTTAGCTTGGTTGAAAGTTTTCCATCATTTGGTCCCTCTATCATAAGAGTAGTCTACTGCAAAACAAGATTGTTTATCAAATCCAAAAGTGTCCTAGAACGCCACTTTGACCTGCCTGTTTTTTTTTAAATTGCAGACGCGGCTTATAACAATTTGGCAAAGTAAGATCTTTAGAAAGTTTGGGGAAATTCTATAATCTCGATTAAAAATTCGATAAAAACATTTTTTGTTTTCCGAACCTGCACTTGAGGAATCTTAGATCCACTTGTGATTGGAAGCTTTGTCACAAACTTCCACTACCCAGGTAAAAAAGTGAAAATACGGTACCAGTATGATTGTTTGGTCTCAGTTCTTTTCGTATTTTTGATTGTTATTTTTTTAACAATTGGGATAAGTTGTCACTTGCTAAGAACTGTCACCAACGAAACTAGCTCGCAAATCGGTAGCAATTTACATGCAAGTCATCTCATACTTTCGAAATGGTTTTCAAAAATGTTTCCCGCGTTGAAAACTTTTTTTTGCCATTATATATCCAATATTGGGGACTAACAGTTGCAAATTTCATTTAAAGATAGTATTATCAGCCTCCGTTAAAAATTTGCATTGATTTTTATTGCTGAAAAAATGCCCCTAAACTAACTGTAGGAAAGGGATATGAGTTTATTTTTTGAGTAAAAAATTGATTGGTTTGTGTGATTCCGAAAAGGCAAATTCAATCCAGTTTTGTTTGAACTATTGCAACCCGGGTTGAGCTCACATTGAAAATTAGCGATAAAAAAATGAAAAAAAAACAGCGATCCCCATCGATATATTATCGATGTTCATTGCCACAATAGCAAACTTTATCGATAAACATCGCTAATTTGGCTTATTTTCAGCGATAAAAAACCTATCAAAATGAGAAGAACTAGTGCTCTAACAGGGTTGCGATCCCCTTATCTTGAGATTTAAATACCTGTATGCTACCTCTTTGCTATCAATCCTTAAATAACAGAAACTACAGAAAAAGCAATGATTAACGGTGAGACTTCAACCCGGGAACTCAAAAATCATCCTCACATTTTCTATGTTTTTTTTTTCATATATCACAATATTCCTCAGAATGGGAAAATTGTTTGCAAAACTCCATAAAAACTGTGAAATCTTCTGTTATGACTTCAAAGTTGTCACTGTTGGTATAGGTTTATTCGAGGTGTTGAAGCAAAACATTGCGCGTGGTTTTTGTTGTTTATTTTTGAGATAGATCTCCGGAAAAAATTGTCCATATAAACTTACGGTGTATACTCCAGTTCCGAAGCTGTTAATTGCAGAAAAATTAAACAAACAAGGTAGTACATAACTTGGACAGTTTGAGAAGGTAATTTTTCGATTTCAGAGAAAATAAGAAAGCTGCGGGAAAATAAATTGAGTTCAAATGAGCAGAAGTGATTGGGCTATTTTCCAGCAAGTAAAATGAATAAAAAACGAGTTTGAATAAAATAAATAATAGAAAGCAATATTTTACAGGTATCTTCAAATTGTACCCTGAGATATTTTCATTTAACGGCGCAGAAGGTCAAGTTTTTAGGACTGCATTTATTCTGGAATAAGAAAGTAATAATGAAATTTATCGGGGGATTATACCCCGGATAAAAAAGGTTAGAAGTTACTTGTGATTTGTGACAGTGTCGATGCGGTTGAATTGACGGGGCTTAAAATGGATTGAAAGCGTGATAGTAACTATCTTTAACCCTGATTGGTCAGAGGCAAAAGGACTTCAAGCCGGGTAATTGAGACCATTTTTACCTTTGAAATATCCGAAGAGCTGACAGCTTACAAAGTTCATTAAAGTTGACCGGTTGCTCTATCTAATCTTCACACTAAAATTTCTCGAATAATAGGGTCTTTTGAAGCAAAATTTTTTGACCGATTTAATACAAAAGACAAATTCAATAGGTGCCAAATAGTTGCTTGGTCGGTATCGTAACGGTGGTTGGAGTTCCGCAAGTCTATGCGATCTAAAACAAAAAATGATTGTCCAAAAATCAAAAGTGAAAAATTATATTTTCCAATTTACAGTAACTATGGCAATAATTTTCTTTATTTTTACGAAAAATGTGACTTTCATCAAGTTATCAACTTTTCTTTAAGGATAAACAGCCTTGGACAATATAGGGCTACAGGTATTTTTCAAGGACACAAGCAATTTACTGCTTTAATTTTATGGTGGCTGTAAATAAATACTCAAATAAAAATAGATTAACAAAAGGTTTTGAAGGCAACAAACGGCTAAAAAGAGCAATTGATGCTATGTGACGTCATAAGATATTGAAATTGGATAACTAAAATTTGACCCCGAGCAATTTGAAGATACAAGAAACGTCAGAAATAAAGGCAAACAAAAAGCTAGGTTAAAAAAAGAAGTTTTTTGGAACGCTTAAGGAGAAAACAAGTTAATACAGAACCTGACGTCAAAAGTACCTTCTATAATCAAAAGTCGGATCAATAAAAACAATTACTTTTTGCATTTTTGCAAACTTTACTGCATCTTTCTGAAGGTTAAAAAAAGACAAACCTTGAAAGCTAGATATAAAAAAGGCCCAATTTAAATCACTAAATTCGTCTGTTAAATCTAGAAATGAAATTGGGTCATATTTTTTAGCCTCGGGACATTTTCAATGCAAACTGCAATTTTAGTTGATTTGTTTTTTCTAAAGGCGTTCCATTGATATGAAAGGGGAGGTCGTATGCTTATAGAGTGACAAAATCATTCCGATACCGAATGGTTGACAAAATATTCTCATGTCAAAAGTTTGTTATTCCTAGCACACTGCTGCTCAATTCGGTGGGGGTTGGCGCGTGGGTCGAGACATTGCCAACAAAATTTAACAATTTTTTTTTCAAAAAATGATCTTCGAAAAGTGCTGTAAAAGTGCTGAAAATTGTAAAAGTGCTGAAAACTTTGAAACATCTGAGAAGTAACAAACAAAGTACAAAAAAATTAGTTTTAGTATTTAAAGTTACTGATTAACAAAAGCAAAGAACAATCGAGGTGTTTGATTCCTTTTGAGACTCAATCATTAAAACCTAATTTTATTCTATTGACAAACAGTGCTGATTTACAATGTCTGGACAAAACGAATGAAGATTGAAAAATATTTTTACTCAAATTGAGTTGATTTTAGACAAAAAATGGCGAAGACAAATTTTACTTAAAAATTTAACAGAATTAGTATGGTGAAGTTTGCTTCGCAAATCTTGGGTAAAAAAATTATACCCCAAAAAAAGTTTTTTTTTGCTTTTCTTACATGCGTTTCCTAGTCAATCAAAAATTACGCCGTATTATCAGAAAGTTTGTTAAGAAAGTTATTGAACAGCTAAGAAGTTATTGGGCAGTGATCCTCTTATTTAATTCAACAAAGTTTCTGAGAGCCTAAGGCCAAAAAAAAACATTTAAAAATTGCTTCAAAATAACAATTGGTACTTAAGGAAATTAAGAAAGTAAAATGACAATTTTTTGCTATCAAACGAAAATAAATTTGAGTAATCAAATCAAAGAGGTAATACACTTTTCAAATTTTGTTGAACTGAAAAAGAGACTCACTGTCGTATAGGTTTGTCATTAATCGATTTGATAGTTTGTTTTTGATTAACTAAACTGAATAAAGTCTTTTCGAAAGTTGTAATTAATTTGTGTATCGACTTTTTGTTTAACTTTGTATATTTCAATCTATACAATATATAATTTTCAAGAGAATTGATTCGCAAGAAAAGAGCTTTGCTCAACATAAAATCACAGTCCAGATTTTGGGGAGATAATACAAATGGTCTATCCTCAACAGGACTAATGATATCTACTGATAGACCCTCAGCGATTCGCATGAACAACATGATTTGTTATTTTTTATTTTAATGGTTTTTAAAAGACTGAAAAACCTCGTTTGTCAAAAATTTTGTTTTCAAATCGAAAATTTGTCATGTCATAATAGGATTTGAAAAATTGTGAATATCTTCATAACAACTATAAAATTTGGCACGCCAGCTACAATACTTTTCCAAAATTTATTGCAATGAATTTAATTTGTAATAATTTGAGGCTTCAAAATACTACTTGCGCCGAATGTGATAAATGAAAATAGTTTGTTCAGTTCAAAAGTAAACAGCGATTTAAATCTGTTCAAAAATCGGTTAAAACGTAATCGAGGTAGACTTGAGTTTTAGTAAAAACGAGGTAATTCTTTTTGCTTTTTTCATAGAATGTGGTTGTCGATTTTCGAAAAAAAAATCATCAGGGTGTCTTAAACTAAAACAGGGCGTTAAAAGGAAGTTGGATGATCTAGTGAGTCGCTTAACGGTTGTCGCTTGACGGATCTTACTCGCTTAAAATGTACGTTTACACGTAATAATTTTTAAATTGTACACGTAAATCTAGATTTGATCTGGAATGAAATAAATTCTCTGCAGCCTTTCGTTACTGAATCAAGTTTGTTGATATTGAACTTTTGGGAAAGTTGAGACATTGAGTTTTCATTTTGAAATCAGGTCAAAGTAAAATGCAGCAAAGTTTTGTTGCGACAAAGTAAACTTGAAGATAATGAGACTTATTGAGACTTTTTGTTCCGATCTTTTGAAATTTGAAATCTGTGGAGAAATTTCGTGTTCGTATGTATTTTAGTTTTTTTCTTCCTTTTTTTTCTTTTTGTTTTGTTTACCTCGCAAAATCAGGTATCTCAAATGAGCATCGGAATAAGTCAAGTGTCATATATAAATTGAAGCGTTTTCAATCGCGGTTTGAACATTTTAAAAAAATTTTCTAAAGTTTTTTCCCAATATTTCGAAACTGGTTGAGTTTTTTAAAAATATTTATTTCAATTTCCAGCGAAAAAAGCGAGTGAGCAGGCTTACAACAGCTTGTTTATGCTTCACTTAAGCCCTAAAAAATTAGTTTCAAGCAGTTAAAATTAATTAGGTTCTACTGCCTTTTTGGGAAACAAAAATTCGAAAAATTGAAAATTTCAGCAAAAAAAAAAATTTTTAACTTTTTTTTTCAATTTTTCTAGTTTTTTTTTCAAAGAATGGCTTAATTGTCTGATTTACTATGGCTGTATGAGCCTAAATTACAGTATTACGTCAGATCCTTTTGTCACACCACGCAAATAAAATACACTAATTTGAAAAAAACTTTCTTTTGTAGTTTTTTAAAGACTATGCTCGGAACATTCTGTGCTTTTTTCATAGTAACCGGCTATCCTTGTTTTAATCTGGTTTTAATGAAATTTCTATTAAGACTCCGATATTGTGACAAAACGTTGCAAAATTGATTGGGTCACATTTAATGGAGTCTAGAAACCGCTTGCGGAACACTAACACATTGACAAATTTAAAAGACATAACACGGAGATTTTTGATCCTGGGATTTAGTTTTGAAAGTTTTGTCACTGTGTTATTGGCGCATGAATAATCATTTGTAGTTTTTTTTTTTCTGATAAAGGTACTTAAAAAAGCATGCACTAATTTTTTTCTAAGGTATCAATGCACTAAACCATCAGGCTAGAAACTAGTGCTTGTTTTTGTATTTGACAACCACTTTTGGGAGAAATATATGACCAGCTATGACAAAAATATAGTTCGTGAATACCTTAATATATGAAACCAATTTTTTGGACAAGGAGACAAGGATGTTAACACTTAACAACGTTTCAGATGGCATATTTTCCTTGTTTCTATTTTCGGAAATCTTCAGTAAGTTATCAACGTTTTGATGTTAAATGAACAAAAAGTGACATTTTCAACCTCAGTTTTTGTCGACAGGTTTTCATTCGCCAGATTTTGTCGTTTTATTGACGATTAATAAAATAAAGAGTAACTTTTACCAACAAAGATGGATTGCGATTAATTTTACTAATAAAAAGGCTTTAATAAAAAAAACTATGAAATAACGCCAGTTTGAATTAAATAAAGCTAAAGAAATCAAATTGAATAGAATCTAAATCGATCAAAATTCATCACTTTTCTTTTTATGGCTTCAATTTTGAGGCATTTCAAGTCAACTTAATTCTATTTGAGTCCTTTCAATTCAAGCCAAATCGATCTAAATCAATTTTCATTCACACTTTGTATATAAAACATTAGTTACATATTACATACATTTATTTTCACTTGATCGACTCTCATTCATTAAATTTTTCAATTGATTTTTCGTAATGATGTTTCAACTTAAAAAAAAGTATAAGATCAAAAAAGGAGAAGTTTTCTTCAAATGAAATTAGTCATTCTCAAAAGAGTTTTTTTGATTTGTTGATTCGATTTATAAAATTGCGTTAAAAACGTTGATCTTAGAAATGACGCCACAAAATGTCGAAAGCATCCCCTGAAACTAAAACCATAGTTTGAAAAAATATCCTCAAGCGCATGCTCATCTGATTTTTTTTGTTTACAGAATTTGACTTAAATTTGAGAGTGATATTAGTCTTTGGCTACAAATTGTTTTTTTATAAAACTCCAAAAACCTACTCAATTTGAAAAGAAATTAGTAACCCCCAAAATCCGTTCAAATCAATAAAAACTGATATTGAAAAAGTAACCTTTATAAATTTAACAAATCAATTTATAAGTAGATCAATTGAAACCGATTTAAATCCTTTTCAAAACTCTTGTTGTTACATTTAATTAATTTGAACAACAATTTAAAATCAAATGTAGCCAATAGCAATTTTAGTTTTTTGAGTGCTGGAAGTGCTAAGAGCAAAAAGGATCAACTAACAAAAAAAAATTAAGTTCAAGTTGTTGCTGATATACTGTATTTTGTCTGGAGCACTAATTGAAGTAACTTACTCTGTAAAAAACCAACAGCTCGAATAATACTGAAATTTAATGTGTTACTGATATTTTTAATCAAAGTGGATTAAAGTTGATTAACTTTTCAATCAATTTGATCAGTTTTTTTTCTCCGAAAATAGATCGCATTCAAGCAACAGACCATTTGGTCTTTTCAGCTCTGAATAAATATCGGCGCTCTTCTTTTTTGATGAAGCTATAACAAATATTTGACCAACAAAGGTGGTGCTTCATTTGTTGAATTAGACAAACGAATTACAGTTACTTTCGATTTTTTACCATAATTAAAATACGCATGCATTTTGTAGAAAAGGCATTATTGTTCCGACTTTCGATACGAAAGTAACGGAAAATTTGTGCTCGGGTGGGTTTTTTTTTTCTTCAGACAAATTTCGACTTTTTAACTAGCCATTTTTGATGGAATTTTTTTTATATCATTCGAAAGCTATTGTTGTCTTGAGCTTAAATTTGAAAAGAATTTTTCACCTGTGACCATTTTTCGTAAAGTTGCGAGGGTTTAAAGATTGCCATTTTGGCCATTTTGACCAATTTGGGACAATTAACGCGCGATATAATTCGCGCTATTAACGCGTAAGCTGAGATTTAATCCGTCTTAGAAATCGTTCCAAATTGGTTGAAAGAAGCCTATTTGCCATAATTGATTTGTTACAAGGAGCGAAATCTGCTACTTCTGCACTTTGATTCAGGGGCGAATTCAGAGGATGGGGTGCCTTTCAAAGATTTGGCCAATAACTGCCAAAAGATCCTCCCCCCCCCCCATTTAGTATTATCCTACCAAACTTTCGGCTGAAGGCGCTTTAGCCAACAATTGTGTTTTTTGAAGGATCGTGCATCAAAAAACGCAATTTTTTACCAAAATTTTTCATAAGTACAAATATTTTGGCCTGTTTTCAAAGCTTAGACTACCGCAGAGAAAAAAATGACAAAATAGGGTCTTTTTGGTCTTTTGGGAGAGCTTTTTTTGGTCAGCCTTAAAAAATTTCAACAAAATAGAGAAATTTTTTGAAGACTGGACCCTTATTTTTCAGTTGCAATTGTCACCCCTGCACCTCGTAAAACTACTAGATCTTGCCCTGCTTTTAATGATCACAGACAATCATTCACAAAGAAAGCAACTGAAAAAAAATCTGCTAGAATAGCTCATTTAGATGAAAAAAAAACGCAGCCTTTATTTTTTTTTAAAAAAAGGTCACATCGGCTACTTCAATATGGAGACTTGTGACAAAAAAAGCATTGATTAGTCCCTGAGTAATCATTTAAACTTGTTTGAAGTTGTCTCAACACCTGCAGAAGTTCAAACTGATGTCGATGTCAGTTCAATTAATCATACAACCAGAACCAGATGGGTTCAAGTTCGAATCAGTTTTTTAAATTCGGTCACATATATGGGCTATTTCAAATGATCTTCTCGCAAATCTACATACTGTTTGAAGTCGCACCTTTTTTGTCGCTAAAATTCCAGCATATGTGAATCTATTTTACCATGGTGAGTTAGAACCGAGGTGGTTAACTCATAGAGTAATTTCGGATAGGGTACACCGTCTGCTCGTCACGCTATCTATTTTCGGCCGGATAGATTCGTGCAACTTCTTAGTCTAATACCGATCCTAATCTTACTCTTATACTATCTAGTCTCAGGTTGTTTAACTAGTCTCTGCTAGGCTCAATAGATCTAGGGTATACTGGTTTATTGCGGCTGCTGAAGTCTTCTTGGAGAGTCAACTAATTTCTAAGTTAAATTCAAATCTCTCTGGTGCTGAAATTACAAGTAATTCCAGCACTTACAAATAAGTGGGTTGTTAGTTAGATGGATCATGATTGGTTAATATTAAATACTTTACAGTGGTAAAATATCTAATTTATCCAATCATAAAATGTAGTTTAGATCAGGTTCCACCCATCCGGGTTTTACAGAGTTTTTTAGAATAGTCTTTCTGCAATTCGAAGGATGGATGATGGACGTTGGTATTTGGCGAACATCATTATTCTTCTGGGTTCTCTTGTTAGAGAAGTTCCAGGTTCAATCGCTGTGTCTTCTCATGACAACGACTGGGTTTTCGCAACAAACTCAAATCTGATTTCAGAATGGTTGGCTATGACAGGTTTTTTCGTTTCTTGTAGAGAACATCTTTTGGGTTGACCTTGTCTGGGAATGGCGTGGAGATTGTGCGTGGAGGGGATGCCTGGTTACTCGGATCTGTACGTATACTTGAACATCGAGGTGGTCATTGTTCTAGTTCAATGAAGTCCTTTTCTGCGAAGTCAAGTCGTACTCTAAATCCTTTGAGTTGTGATTGTGGGCGGCATATTGATTGTGGTTGGCCATTCTTTTTCGAGTGTAGTGGGTTCATTTTGTCTTTGAATGTTCGTCTTTGGTGTTGTATGCTGATCTATATACTGCAAGATATAATTTACATTTTATAAAATTTTTATTAGTTTGGTGTTTTAATTATGATTTTGGTTAGTTGTTTTCACAAAAGTTTTTTGTTTTAGTTCAGTTATTTTGAAGAGTTACTCACCCTTGAGTACCTCTTATTAAAAATAGAAGTGTGGTCACAAAGCGTGGATGTAGCGCGGTGGGTTAGGCCGGCTATAGAGCATGCTCAGGACGTCCTCTCTGGTGGGTTAGGCCAGGAGTGGGAGTATGATTTCGTGCGGTTTCTGTGAGAGGTCCTGTTATGTGATAACGTTTTATGTTGAGTTTATTGTGGTTTTCCTTATGTTTCGTTGGTTGTGTCCTTTTTTCAAAAATAAAATTGTTTTTGGTATGGGTTTGTCTTTCGACTTTTTTGTGTTTTATTATTTCTTTCTTAGACTTTATAATAGTCTTCAAAAGAATAAATTATCCAGTTTTAAACTGGGTTAATCCGGTCTGGGTACCGTTGGTTTCCTTTTCTTAGTCATGCTGTTATTCTATGTGCTGTGGTGTTTAGTAAGCTGCATTGGTTAGTTTTGTTTAGTATATAATTCCTTTCCAACCGGGTTAAAGGAAAGTTTGAAACTTGTTATCGTATGTTAGAGTTGTTGAGTGTGAAAGCTTGAAACTGAAATTCATTACTTAAACAATTCTTCGTGGGCGAGCTGTGCGAGTTTGGATAGAATTCTTTGTGCGAGTGAATGAAAATATCAAAAGGTTAGTACTGCATTTGCGTTTTATCAATTTACTACATAGAATTTCAATTTTACTGCTAGTTTTGGGGAAAAATTAAGTTACAAATTTTCATCATTATTAGAATTACTGCTTTTAGGGAAATAATTTATAAATTAATTTACTACATTGGTATGAATTTTATTGAATTTATCTAGTGTAAAATTTTAATAGAGTTTTTAAGAATTTGAAGAAGTTTTCAATTTTTTATTTTTCTTTATTGTATTTTGCAGATGATCGTGAGATGAAGACTAAAAATCTAAATAAAACATGGATAAAGAATGGTTAGTGTTTTATTTTAAATTTATTAGTTTAGAATATGTATAAATTATACTTACCTGTTAGTCGTCGGGGAAAAAACCGTGGGGGAAGATGTCGTGGATTATGTCGGAATTTGTTAGTAACTTTGCTAGTATGCGAATGATGTTTTTAGTTTGAAGCAGTGGCCAAAGCAATTGAAGTGCTTTAATGATTTTTAGTTCTTCAGTGCCAACTGCAAACTCATAAGGTGTGTTTTGGATGAGATTGTATAATTTGTGGTTATATTTAGTGTTTTCTAGTGAATTCTAATATGGGGATTTCTATAGGTTGAACAAATTCATGTGGGATAAGGAAGGGTCTGGATTCTTCTGCGTTGAAGGTCTTTGTGATGGGACAAAAAATATACATTTGGGTTATGGGATCATAATTGCGAAGAATACCGTGAAGGTTAGTATCTTTGATGCAATATGTGAAGTTAAGAAAAAATGGTGATGTGTATTTAGAGTTAATAAATTGAAAACGATGGTGTGGTTGTCTTGATGGAGTGTGTAGGTCAAAATGATTTTGTATAAAACGATAATATGTATATGTGTGGGTTTGTTTAGTGCGTAACATAATATCGTGTGAGCAGTGCAAATCTCTTTCATGTGGTGCAAGGAAATGAAAGGTTAGTGAAAATAATTGAAATTTTTCTTTAAAACTTTCGTAAGATTGTGTGTCGGTTAGTGCTTCAGAAATGATGTGATCGAATTTGCGATCAAATATATTGAGTGTAAAAACATATGGTGTTTTGATGAAAATTTTTTCTGTGATTTGTGGGTTAGCGAAGCGATCATCATCTAAAAATTGATCTTGGTTAGTTCGGATGATGTTATGATCGTAATATTCTAGCGTATATTCGTTAGCTCGGGGTGCAGTGTATGTTTTTAGTGATTTTTTATATCCGATGTAAGTAAATTGTCTATGTGTTAGTGGTGTGGTGAGTCGATATAGCATATCTTTATTTCTTTCTATATCGATGTGAGTATTAGATAAAGGTAGGCAAAGGGGGTTAGTAAAATGATAATATGATGTCCAATGAAGTGTAGGCATTAAAACTTGTTCATCTACAAAACTACGTGTGTCGTTAGTGTCGTTAGGGATGTTCAAGGTATACTGTGGAAATGAGGGCAGGGTGATGGCTAAGAAATCTTTCGTGTTAGTGTGATTTGGATGATTAATATATTCACGGGCTGTTCCTGGTTTTGTCGGAAATGGATGGTTCGGGAATTTTCTTTTGAAAGTGCGATAAGCTCTATTAGTGCTATTTGATGATTCGGTGGATGTGGAGGATGGTGCTAATGATGCGGTATAAGCTGAAGAGGGTGTAGGGGTAGGTGGGTTTAATGATTCTATTGTGGATGAAATCTGGTTTATAGTGGAATTTCCGAGGTGGAAGGGTTGTTGTTGTAGGGTGATAAAATTATCTAGTTCCTGGGAGATTTGGGGAGTATCTGGAGAATTGGATGATCGGTCTGAATGAAATGAAGAGTAGGTTGGGGTGACTTGTGAAGCATAAGAGGGTGTAGAAATCGATGGGAGTGGGTCATTTGGCGGGATTGGTTGAAAAGGGGGTTTTGAAAAAACTGAGGAGTTGGTTTGAAAATTATTGGATGGAGATGGTTCAGAGTCTGCAAATTCATCAGGGGTTTCAATATCTGGGTTATTGAGTTGT